TTTATTTTAATTTTCATGAGTACATAGTAGGTGTATATATTTATGGGTTATACATGAGATGTTTTGATACAGGCATGGAGTATATAATGATCACATTATGGAAAATGGGGTATCCATCCCATTAAGCATTTTCCTTTGTGTTGAAAACAATCCAATTATACTTTTAGTTATTTTAAAACATATAATTGAATTATTATTGACTATAGTCACCCTGTTGTGCTGTCAAATAGTAGGTCTTACTGTTGTACATTCTTGAGTAGCTGTTTTATAAATGGTCTTGTCTGTAAATACTTTTGCAGAGATGTCTTTATTTCGCCTTTACACTTAATTAAGTATTTGGCTGGGTATAGAATTCCAAGTTTCAAAATATTTTTCTTTAAAACTGAAGAAGAATCACTGCAATGTCTCCTAGCATCCTTATTACTAGTGAGAAATGTCATGTTGGTCTGATTCTTGTGTTTCAGGCTAACCATTCCTTTTCTTTTGGAAGCTTTTGGGATTTTCTCCTTGTCCTTGGAGCTCAAAATTTTATGAAAGTTTGTGGGTTCATTTTCATTCATCCCGATTGGTACTTGGTGGCCCTTCACATTGAAGAGTTACGTCTTACTCTGGTGCAGGGCGCTTTTATTCTATTTACTTGATTATTTTCTCCTATTTGTTGTCTGTGTTCACTTATCCTAAGTTTTCTCTTCACATTTTCCTCCTCTTTGTCATTTTGATATGGATTTTATGAGATTCATCTAATCTGATCTTCCACCTTGTCCACTCTACTCTCTAGTGTGTCTAGTAAATATTTTTAATTTCCAGGAACCTTTTCTTGTCCTCTGTTTGCTTTGTTTAAATTAGCTTGTTTTGTTTCATGGATGCCATGTCTTTTTAAATATCTTTGAGGTGTTGGGTTTGGTGGCTCATGTTTGTAGTCCCAGCTATTCAAGAGGTTGTGGTGAGATGACCGTTTGAACCCAGGAGTTTGAGACTGCAGTGAGCTACAATTGTGCCACTGCATACCAGCCTGGGTGACAGAGTGGTATGCAGTGGCACAATATAAAAAAAAAATCTCTAAAACAACCCACATATCTATGTATATATATCTTCAAGGCACAAATGAGAATTAAAAAGAAGCACCAATCCCTTTTTCTATGTGTATTCAGGATTCTTTCTTCTTGTTGGATCCCTCATTTTTTGTGCTCTTGGTTTTTCTCAGCTGTCTGGTGATTTACTATTAGTGGTTTATATTTACAAATAAAGGACTACATAGATTAGTGCCATTGCCAGGGTCTTTTTCTCTGCCAGTCTTTTCCTTTGAACAGGAGGGAGCAGCCTGCCGACAGAGGCTTTTCTGTGGATTAGGCAGTCTGGCAAATCCCACAACGACCTCAGTCAGGCAGGCTTTCCTAAGGGCCAAGTCGGCTGTAGCTGCTGTAGAGGGGGCAGAGCTCTTCCCTCTCAGGCCTGAATACCCACCCTTGGTTTCCTCCCCTGATGTGTTGCCTACTCTCTTTGTGGGCAAAGAAGGTGGTGTGGGAGATCCCAACTGGTTGAGTTATTTTTTAATTACTCTGAGATGGTAATTTATTTATCATCAAATAGAGACACTTTTGAGAATGAAAGGGGAACCTATCAGTTATTTGGCCAAGATAATACGCATCACCTGGGCCTGTCACCCTGCCTGTAACATACTCTCAATCTTCATATTTACTGACTCTGAATTTAGAGCTGCTCTGGGCTCCATTGGAAAGATCACTGTTCTAATTCTTTTGGCTAGAGTTATTCCTATCTTTTTTCTCCCAGTCATAATTAATCTCATCTGCCTTCTATTTTATTCTCTAGGCCTTCTTCAAAATTTATGAACCTCTGCTATCCACTACTCTTGTTTTCCAGCACTGTTTGTTTTTATTCTTAAAAAAATGTTTTGTGTCATTTCAGTGGGAGCTGAGAAAGAAGGGAGAAAAAAGACATACTTAACTTGACATCTTAAAACCAGAAGCTCTTTTAGCTCTTTTAGTCCACTTTAAACATGTTCACTCACTGTATTTTATACATCTTTATATGTTGCCTTACTCCCTTTTGGAACTGGAGAAATTCAGTGATAATTGTGCAGGTGTGAGCTTACACTGGTATGTCATCGACCCCTTGGCGACTAGTTTCCTTTCATTACTCTTACATATGGAAGGATGCCATGATGCCTATCAAATACCAGGCATTGGGTCATTGAACCTCTGAGCCATTCTCAATGGGAATACTTATAGTTATGGGGAATTTGTTTTCAGATTCCTCTTTTTTGCAGGATATGACTTACTGCCAAAAGTTCTTTCTGTTCCCTTATACACTGTGGTAGCACACAGAAGAAAGTCAATTCCTGCAAAGATAATTTAGGTGTAGCATGGTCAGGTTAAAGACAGAAAACTGTCTTAGAACCAAATCCAGTATTTTGCGGAACTTAATGAATGGATGCTAAATTTTCTGCCAGAATTAATCCAGGAAGACTTGGTTCAGAAAGATGATAATTATTAGAAGCACATAAGCGAAGATTAAGACTTAATAAGAAGGATTTAGAAGCCAAAAGTGGGCGTCCTGGCTCTAATTAGGTTTTGTGGGACAAGAGCAATTTGGATTCCTGAAAGGGGATCCAAACTGGCCTACCATAGAAATTACTTGGCTGCTTTGGGGACAGGCTAGTCCCTGTCCTTGCGGAGTGTGGTTACATGGAGATGCTGGACATGATGGTTTCTATGTGGCTTACAGAGTCAAAATTCTGGTGTTTGGAGTGGGTAAAATTAGGTACAGAACCATAGAATTGCACTCTTGGATGTACTTCATACTGAAAGTATACGAACTAAGCTAAAGCCAATGAATATATCTGACTTTTGTTTTGCTGCTTTAATCTACAGATTACATGCAGCATGCCTGTGGCCCAGGTTAACAGTTTGCCATGCAGAAAGAGCCCTCGCCACTGCCCTCCCAATAATATTTTTGCTTTCCTGTCAGCAATTTTACTACTTCTGGGTTATGTTGGTGGTATATAAATAAATAATCTGGTTTTTTAAGCATTTAGATTTCCTCACCCTTCAAAGTACCACTTTGGACTTGGATGTTTTATTTTATTTCATTTGATTTTATTTTTTGAGACAGAGTCTTGCTCTTGTCACCCAGCTGGAGTGCAATGGCATAATCTCAGCTCACTGCAACCTCCACCTCCCAGGTTTAAGCAACTCTCCTGCCTCAGCCTCCTGAGTAGCTGGGATTGCAGGCACCCACCACCACACCTGGCTAAGTTTTGTAATTTTTTTTATTTTTAGTAGTGATGGGGTTTTGGCATGTTGACCAGGCTGGTCTCGAACTCCTGACCTTGTAATCTGCCTGCCTCGGCCTCCCAAAGTGCTGGGATTACTGGTCTTAGCCCACGTGCCTGGCTAAGCTTTGATGTTTTAATTCTTTGTTGGGGTATGAGCAAGAAAGAGAGGATGGTGCTTTTAGGTCAGGGTTTGAGGTGTTTCCTTCAGGTGAGTGGTTGGTTGACAAGTTGCTTCCCGGTGGGTTCTGGATTTCAGAGTTATAGGTTGGGAGCAATTAGTTGTTTTTATCAGCAATTTGTTGAGCTGGACTAGAAAACAGGAACCATCACAGAGAAATGGCTTTATTAGAGAGGCAAGAAGGAAGCCATGCAGGTCGTTACTGGACAGACAGAATACTCTACAAATGGTAGAAACCCAGTCATAACCAAAGACAGGATGTCATTTGTCAGGAGCAGTCCTTAGAAGTGATCTTCAATCTTGGGAGTTGAACCACCAGGGCTACAAAGACAGATTCTGCTTGGACTTTTGGAAAAAATTTGTTCTTACAATTAATGGTACCTGGCATGCAAGGAGTGAGTGCTAAAATATATTCCTTCCTTCCTTCTCTCCCACTTCATCTACCTCATTTTCCTCATCTCCCTTCTGCTTCTAGCTCTTTACACTTTCCTTTTGCTCTTCCCTTCTCCATCCCCAACATGTGTTTCCAAGTTACTTTCCACCATCCAGTCTCTTTTATCTCTCTGTTTGTAAGTGCCTTCTCTAAACTCAGACTCTTACTGCAATCCCTGTGCCTTTTACCACCTATCATCTACCCAGTTGGAGAACTGTGGGATTAAGGGAATCTAATGGTGAGATGGTCAAGTCACTCGCCCTGAGAGTCCAGCATTGACATCTGGTGGTTACCTTGCTGACTCTTTTCCCACAGCTTTCATCATTGCATCCTAAACCTTTGGTCAACTCTGGAAGTAGCTCTTCAGTAAACATGGAGCAAGAGCTCACTACCCTTACTACAAAATATGTTCTGCTGCTGTTTCTGGGTCACTGTCTTTTCTTACCCTCTGCAAATTTTTAGTCTACACTGTCATAATCTTTGGGTTTATTGTCCTTCTTATATTGTTATTTGTACTGGTGTTTGCATTTACTTTCAGAAGAGATTTTATTCTTTGGTCAATTCCAGCTAAGGGCAGGTCTTAGTCTCCTGATTATGTGTCATTCCTCTTAATATGCCTGGCTGCTTATAAATATCGCCTTTGGTTCTATGACCATAAGGTCAGCGACCTCACTGGCCACTTCTGTATGGTTTTATTTGGCTATGTTGTATTTTGTGACTTTGTAGCAAAAAACCCCAGAAAACATTCTTTTCCAGGATGCATTTGACTTTGTCAGCTCCTTTTCTTAGGAACCACTTGAAGTTAAGAGAAAGGGTCTTTGCAGAGCTAAAGGGACATAGAAATTGGAGACACATAATGTTTTGCTTTATGGTTGGCATTAGAAGGGCGATGAAAAAGACTGTAGCTTTCCATTTTGGGACTTTCCAACACATGTTCCAACATGTACACTGGCAAAAGCCAATGCCCTTCAAATTTGAAAGGAAAGAATTCTTGCAACCTTGACAACAAAGCAACCTAAGTGATGTTGTTTTAATTAGTTATATGTTTTTGTGGGCCTACAATTTAATTTCATACCTGATTTCTCTCTCTTTAGAAGTGGAACGGAGAGTGAAAGCCAATGACCGTGAATATAATGAAAAGTTCCAGTATGCGGTGAGTAAAACACACATAATATGTACATATTGGGGTAGGTCTTACCTAAGGACAGTGGAATGCATGTCTTCTAGAACTTTATGACTTCATCAAAAACTTTCTTTGTTGGCCCATTTTAATAGCAAGGTGCCATATGTTTCCATAAATACAGTTCTTAGCAATGTTTACAAACTTACTTCTCTCCCACAAAGAGTAGTTGGTATGCTTATTGTCATGGGAAGATGATAAAATCTCTTCTTTCTCAAGAATTGATGTTTAGATCATTTGGGTACCCATTTGGTTAGTAGTATACATGGGAATAATAGGAAAAGAAACCTTTTTTGTAGTACTTGGTCATGGATGTAGTGACGTTAGCTAGTGGTTGATGAATGGCATTTGAGGTGTTTTCTCTAAGCAACTCAGGCTGAATTTGTAAGAATATACATAGGATAAGGTTCCCAGGTCCTGAATGATTGTATTTACAGAATGATTACATGTGTGGGCTTTAAGCTTGTACTGAACAATTTTTTTTAAGTGAGAATTTTCTTCATTGACATAAGGAATGTTTACTGAATGTCTACTAAGTGACTGGCAGTGTCTTAGGCTACAGTGGTAAACAACTTCATGAATACATCATGGGCCTTTATAAAGACCTTATTCTTCTGTGACTCAATCTAAGTTACTACCTAGAATCTTTCATAAGCTGTAAGATAGACAGTTGGTGACACGTGGCCTATAAGACCTGTTATGTGATTGAGTTTACCAGCACATTTAATGAAAGAAAGTCTCAATTCAAAGAAGGGTGTGATGGCTATTAAAGCATAGAAATATGAGAGTCTCAGGGGCAAAATTTGGCAGTGTCCATTAGGCATTAGCTATAGGAGAGTTTTGGTCCATGGAGGTTTTTTGTGTTTTGTTCCTACTGGCAGATCTTTCCCATATGGAGATGAATGCTTTGGGCTATTATAGCTTGATATTTAGGAGAGGTAGCTAACAGTTTCTTTTTTCTCATGCTGAGCTAGTCATGCAAACTTGTGGATATAATTTGATTTTCAATGTAGGTTTCCATATAGGAATTCAGTATGCCATCTCTATGACAGATTGTTCATTGTAGAACAATATACTGACACTCTGATTTTATTTATCAGTCTTGTAAGCTTTGTTAAAGTAAGTCACTCTTGAGACAAGAAATCCCTCTCAGGAGGCTAATAAATATGCTTCTTAGCCTGGGGGAGGGAGGGGCTATAATTCCCTAAGGTGACAAATATCACTCTATATGGCCTCCTGACATATGGTCATTCAGCCCTCCTGGTGAACACCAGACATGGCCCCATGCCCTTCCATCCATCCTATAGCCAGTCCTTTAACTGTAGAGAATGACCTCTGAAAGCCTTGACCATCAAGTCCCAAATCAGAAAACTAGATACATTTATATTTAAGATCTTGAGAGAAACCCCCAGCAATAACTAATCTGCTATGGGGTAATTATGCATTTAAGTACTTGGCTGCATTTACTTGTTTTCCAATGTATAACAAGTATTTTCCTTCTGTGAGTAATAACTCTATAAGGAAAGCCTTATTTTGTTTGTGCGTTGTAAAATGGTATGCTCTTTTCAATTTACAGTTATTTTTTCTTAATTATGGAATATTGCAGACTCACAGAGAAGTATGGGGAATAACATCATGTGCCTACCACCCATATTGAATAGATGTTAATAATTTGCTGTGATTGCTTCAGATCTTTCTTTCCTTTAAAAGTCATAATATGCTAATGATATAGAGGTGATTTTTCTGTTGAGCTTTCATGATATTGAACAAAAGCACACGCGTTTGGCTGTGGCTCTTTTCTGTCGGGTTTCCTAATAATGACAAGGCAGTAGAAGAGTATCCTGTGGCCACAGGAGATTGAACAAGGCAGCTGCATCTCTGAGTTAAAACATACCAAGATAAGAACAAAATCTATGGGTTGACAAAACCAAGAATGATAGCAAAAGTTGAGAAAGAAAAGCTACAGAGCAGAGAGGGGCACAGATATCCCAGATCAAAGGACTTCCATTGTGGTTCAGAGGGAATGAGCAGCTGCCATGCTCCTAGAAGGAGCACAGGACCTCCCACTACACCTGGCTGATGTTTCCTTGATTCTGGAACACCCAAAAGGATTACTGACCTCACAGTGAGCTGTCGAGCCTCTCTCAGCCCCAGTCTATTCTGCTGCATGTTGGGGATAATCAAAGTACCTATTTCATAGAGTTACTGTAAGGAGTAAAATACAACAGCCCTATAAGCCAGTCTAAGTATAACTGGCATTTGAACCTATGCCTATCTGATTTTAAGCCTTATTTTTTAAAGCCATAAATAGAATATCCTTTTAAGAAAAACAACATCCTGGGGTCTTCTGCTTGGTCTTCCCCAGCCTTCAAGAGTATCACTCCAAATGGAAATGAATTTTGAGAGGCTTCAACATATCCCAGGGAGAATGCTCATAATAATTGAAGAAGTAATGTCTTCACCAAAAAAGCTGAAAAGAAGATGGGGATAAACCAAAACCGATTATGTAAAAGATGAAAGGAGAAATGAAATTCCCTCAAATGTAGTGGAAAAAGTATTTTAGGATAAGATCTAACATAGGTTGAATCCTTTCTCTCTCATTGTACTCATGGGATCTCAATGTACTTATTTCTCTGAGCATCAGTTGTTTCATCTATGGAATGGGGGAATTTTTCTCATAGGATTATTAACTAAAGGATTAAATTACACAATTTATGTAACATATTTGATAATAAGGCTAGCTGAATTTATTACATACTTATTGTGTACCAGATCCTGTGCTATGCTTTTTATGTGGATTTTTCTCTTATATCTGACAAGGCTGTGGGCAAGTACTCATAATAAATTTTAGATTCCCCATAAAGCAGTGGATAAAGTATATCAGTAATAGTAATCATAAAATTATAAAATCGATAATTTATAACTTATCAATTATAAATTGATAAATGTAAAATTTCAGATATTGAATAGTTATATAAACTTGTAAACATTTTGTGGCAGATAATATGCCAACAAATGAGCAAATCTGTGATACTAAAGGTGTGAAAGTTGTTGATAAATTATGCAGATGATCTAATATGCAGAGAAAGCAATGCACCAAAACGAGGACTAACAGTGTAAATGATTGTGGTAGCAGAGGCCACCTTCCCAGATAAGCCATGTTGAAATGACAGTCATTAAGTGAGAAGGTTATTGACTACCTACTCTGTGAGAGCATTTGATGAGTTTTGGAATTTTTCTTACAATCTCAGCATGGATATTGACAGAGACCTACTTAATTGTGATAGTCATAATAAAGTTAGTGATAATAATAGCTTAAAACAGGTCAGGCTCACTATATGAAAGGCATGGTTTTAAGCACTCTATTATATGAAACATATTTAATCTTGTAACTAGTCCATGAAATACTGTTATTTCTTACTTAGTATCTTTTTTTAGTATATTAAAACATTAAGCCATAGAGATCTCACTTAAGTTACATGCTCAGGGTCACACAGATAATAGCTTACATCCATACAGCTTAAACTTAACTGTGGACCAGATGCTTTGAACATATTTCAATCTTCCACAAAACCCACTGAGATGAAGATGGGGCTCCAATTAGTAAGCTGTCTAAGTCATGCAACTAAGAGGCAGCAAAACTGGAATTTTAATGCAGATTGGCCACATTCTAAAACCTGTGTTTTTCTTGTGATGTCATGTAGCTCTTTTGACCAATCTTGGAAAACAGACCAAAAGAAAAAAAAAAAAACATACAAAACAAAAAACCAATCAACCAACCAAACAACAAAACAAACCCCAATCCCTTCCCCTTCCCTCACATAACCACTGGTAAATATACTCTAAAGACAAAAGTAGATAAAGAAACACAATTTTACAACATGAGGCTAAGAATGGCCTTAAATATTACCCTGGGCTTTTGTAGGTAAGAATTTGGGAGAAAAATTTACAGATAGCTCAGATAAATTGTGCGATTTACAGAAACATTAAACCTGGCCAAGCAAACTTTTTTCCTGGAAGGCTGGCTGAAGATACTTCAGCAGTTTGAGAACCTTCATTTATCAACAAACTCTAAAGCTGCAAATCACATTACAGGACATAGCACAGGCTTAAAAGTGATTAAAAGCACTTTTGAGAGATAAAGCGTTTAGAACATAAAAGATAAGTTTAATGATTCTAAGTCAAATTAATTGGTAAATTAGACATGGTACTGTGAGAACTGGAAGGTAAAAACAAAATTGCAATAGGGATTTAGACTGCCAAAATGTGTAAAACAAAATGAGATTGAAGAGTGGAGGGAGAGTGAGCCAAGTGCTAAAATTATTATTCTCATTAGAAGGGAGTTCAATGTTTTCTTGGTTAATAATAGGAATGAATAATAGAAGTAATGAAAACAGTTGTATTAAAACATGTTAATGTTAATAATGGTTAAAAAAAAAATTGTCAGTGAGCCAAACAGCCAGACTCATTTCTGTTAAAAGGATTTCAGAGTGAATGGTAGAAGTGGTGAAAACAGTTGAATTGTATTAAAATGTATTAATGTTAAAAGATGTTAGAAAGTGTTAGCTTAATTATAGCTATTTTCTGATTTTGCTTAAGAGTTTAAAAAAATGATGATGGAAAGCACTGCTTCCCACTGGTTCTTATTCTCTCACTTTCTTTCACATAGGCCCAGGCATGATCTATCCCCATTCACTTCTCTTGAACTTTAACAGAGTTTGAGAAGGGAGATGAACTCATTTGAGTGATGAGAAACTTATCCTGTCTCAAACTCAGAAAATTCAGTAAAACAAAACACTTAATAAATTTTATCTGAATATATATATTTGAGACTTAGTCTCGCTCTGTTGCAGGCTGGAGTGCAGTGGCACAATCTTGGCTCACGGCAACCTCCACCTCCTGGGTTCAAGCGATTCTCCTGCCTCAGCCTCCCTAGTAGCTGGGACTACAGACGTCTGCCAACACATACAGCT